TACAACAGCCATGGGATGGGTAGACTAAAACAACATGAAAGAGTAAGATCTGAACAGATTCTTGGGTGGAAGGTACTGGACTCACCCCACGCACACGTCGAAGATATTGCTGCCGACCGAACTCGACACGGCCATATCGCCAAGTCCTTTTCGAGCGACGATCACACTGAAACGAACACTTTTTGTAGATGACGAATTACAGCAATTTTTTGCAACGGCCTGTAAATTTCAGAAAATACCTTGTGATCAGATCTGGAATGCTTGTACCGGCCGCTAAGATGGTTAATCCAATCACCTAAAATACACATTTCTATGAGTTTGTGCCTTTTTTAGGATGGTTTTTTAGGGATTGGGATTGTTGGAAATTTTCTATATTTTGTAGTCACAGAGATCTTTTGACGGGGTTAATCAGACAGAAATTTAATTTGGAGATATGAATTGAATCTGAGATGGTCTTTGGAGATGGTCTTTGGGACCTTCATCCGGTGCGTACGTGGCGTAGGTGCTGAACTGCCAGCTCATTGTTTGTTGTGGACTAGTTGGTTACATGCACGTTTACCCACTGCTTTAGGAAACCACAAGCGCGTTGAGTGCAGACAACACACCACAATTGACGACGCCTCCAAGTAAATCTGGTAACTAGTGATTCATAGTGATAGCTGATAGTTGGTAAATGATAGTTGTAATTAGTGACAACTGATAGAATACAACTGCAACAGGCTAATCATTTCATTGGCAGAAAACATTTACATTTTGTGGAGGCCGTCGTCACTTGTGGTGTGTGGTCTGCACTCGACGCTCATCCGGTTTCTTGAAATAGAGGGTATGCTTGCAACAACGCCAACATGGACAGATGTCCTAGTTTTTTTTCATGTAGGAAATAGGTCAGCTATTCCAGACGAGACTCGGATTCGTGGCGCGTCTCAAATGAGCTGATGGTCGGCAGCAATCTGACGCCAGCCGAACTCGAAGCTGTTTGGCAATCGGTCATCCTCGCTGTTCTATGATCCAGGTGAGTTGAGTCAGGCGCAGCCTGGTTTTTTTCCTATCTATGTGTTATGAATAATTTTTTGAATTGACATCTACAAAAGCCTTCCAAAAATACACTCTCATTCCATCCGATTGGAAGAAATACGGTTGCCTCATTGGGGTTGATGGACCTCATACAGGTTCAAGATGTAAAAATCTCTTGCTGAAAGGCTCCACCACGCTCGCAGTTTCCCAAACAGTAAGAACTTAGCTCACCTCAGTGGGAATGACGAGTGTTTCACCAATCGTATTCGCCCACCAGACCATTAAGTAGGAGAAGAACGCGATCCACAGGATTGAGTTCACGAAAGTCACCGGATACCATTTACGGCTGGTCTGAAATAAGTGATTGAACAACGGGACGCCTTCTCAGCTGAATATATGTAAAAAATTGCTAGTTGCTAACTCGATTTTCATAAGAAACCCATTACTCTAAGATGAGTCAATTGATGCTAGAGCTCTTCCTTATGGTGCCGTATCCTACCCTTCCCCATGCTAGGGGAACAAAAGAGTCCTTTGAATTCATCAGTCTCCGAAGACATAATACCCTTACTTTCCGCACTCGTTTGCTTTTGCACACATATACATTACAAATATGCTGTTCCTCAGAGCGATCTGTGTTGGAAAGGCAAATTAATTAGAGGGATTTTTATTCCCAGCCTAAGGAAGGATAGATCGGCCCATGCTTGAGGAGGAAGACTGCTCCAAAAAGGAGTAGCTTATCGACGTGACGTCAACACTGCTGGCACTGACGCATGAATTGGTGTTAGTCTTTGAAGTTATTGTGATAAGATTCACAAATCGAAACAACCATGAGTAATGAGTGGCCAGTATGGCGCGATATGAGAAAAAACCTTAAAAGAACGGCCTGATCTCGACATGCATTCCCTCGCTTGTTGTTTGCGATATTATCGGTCTGTTCTCTTCAACGCAACGCTCTCCACTAAACAGCTAGAGAACTGCGGCTAGTGGTTAGCTAATCGGTGGGCGTATCACGCCGATAGCGCCGCGGGAATGGCCATGTTAGGTTGCAGGGAGCATATCATTCGATGCAAATTACGTGTCTGTCCACACCCTTTGGGTGACCGCTGTGTTTATGAGGTAAGTTTCCAGTTCCCCCATCTTTGACCTCCGACCTCATCGTGGAACCTTCTTCAGTACCGAGGAATTTACTGAATTCCTTTCGCAGGGGAACCCCTTCATAATCCTCCGCACTGCACGGCGTTTCTGAATGAAATCAAAGCTAGCGGGGGGGGGTGTGCTATTGGAAATCTGACAAAGAGTAAATGACTGTCCAGAAGTTCGACGCTGGAACTTATACTAATTGTCCCAGGCACTTTGATAATAGTAGAGTTTTAGCTCTACATAAATTGTTAATGGTGGTAACCTAGCACAGTGGCGTTTCCCAACAAATAAAGAACGAAGTGTTGATAGTCTGTACGTGCCCGTCTTCCTTGAAAGCTGGCATTTCATAGTGTATTTATCCTTGTGTGCCGACAGGTTTCATGGTGGATTATTTGTTTTGCCAGGGGTTTCGTCGAAATCGTCGTTTTCAAAGGTCAAAAAACGTTCTAAACTCTGAAATGTTAGCTATCCGCCTCACAAATTTGGATGATGTCTCGCGGTGGATCGTATAACTTCGTATAATCCAAGTATATGGTTATCTTTTTGTAGGTTAGTTTCAATTTTTACAGATGCTATATTGTATGAATATATTATAATGCAAGTTGCGTTCAAAAACAGGGTGGCGTCCAATTTTACAGCAGCATTATTTCGTTGGTGCAACAAGAAACCAACATTATTAACGATTTCAACTGGATTTTATATGATTTCCCGAAAGTAATTATTCTGATTGAATTATAGTGGGCATTTTGAAGTTCTTCAAGTGCTCTACAAAAAGAAGAGCTTTTAGTTGTCTACTATAATTCAATCAGAATAATTACTTTCCATGAAATACTACCAAATTTTATGGAGCCTATAATAGGAAATGTTGAGTTTTTGATCAAAAAGCGTACAGCATTGTTGAATTCCAGAGACGAATATCGAGAAAAGGCGCCCTTTTTTAGAAATGATGTAGAGGTGGTAAGTGATGCAGAAATGGGGAAAAACCATGAAAATGGCCCAGAAAGAGAAAAAAGAAAGGAATGAGAGAGAGTTAGAGGAAGAGAGAGAGAAATGATCAAGTATGTAAATAACTACGGTTTAGTAAACGAATATTATAAACGAATTATTGAAAAGCTCGTGTGCCCTGCAATTGACGTACCTCTCGGCGAACATCCGGAATGGTGACCCACATGGGGATGAGCACGGGTGCCAGACAGATATAAGTGATCTGTTTGGTGAATTTGTCTGGCCATTCCATATTCAGCGGCTGATCCTCTTCCTCTTCAAGCAGCGACTTCTGAAAGGCAAAACAGCTGAGCTTGCGGCTGGCAAGCAGCTGCAGCAACAGCTTAGTTAACTTAACAATGCCTCAATTGAGATCCGAACGCCATCAGTCCGTGACGGCAATTGTGACTCCACTTCGAAAAGGAGCAGTTTGATTGGTCCGAAAAGATACTATATGTTGCCCATTTTGAGGCATTTGATGGTCCTGCACAGGTTCTTTTCAAGAGATCGTTTTCCTATTTTTGTAGAAGCGATATGTAGTATTAAAAATTTACCAAATCCGATGATCCCTAGGATGCTCGGCGGGTGGAGGAACGCTCGTGAAAGGAGTTTTTGACGTGCCAATTTTATGTTTGTCTTTACGGACGCCTATAATCTCTTCCCATAGAGCGCTAAAGAAGACCTGACGCATGACGCTTAGCCTCGTCAACTGAACGACTTTGAAGAGGCTTCCCGATTCAGCTGCCTGCTCACCCTCTTGCACCACAATGCTGCATTGTAACCACTATACGAAGATTAAAGGACGAATTCACGCCGGGAAGGCAACCCATTTCAAATTAACTCAGGGATGGTGATTGGTACACGAAAGAAGGAAGAACCATGAGAAACGGCCCAGAACCCGAGAAATGGGACCCCTTCCTTCCCCGCTGATTTGCGCATTGATGCGACTCTTATCGCTGTGCCCTCCTCAACATCACGCTCTCTCTGCTATCTAATCAATCCCACGTATAGATCTGCGGCGAGTGATCAGCTGGTCGGTGGGCGGAGATCGCCAGACCCGCCAACTTTGAGGCATAATAGGTCGCCGAGGTCAAATTTTTCGATGCGAATTGCGCATCAGTTCGCACCCTCAGGAGGTCCGTGGGTTACTCAACTAGGTGAATTACTTCTTCCTCGACCTCCATTCTAATCGTAAAATCCTCCTTTAAGGAGGAATCGAACTCTCAAAAGATAAATTATATAAAACGTTGGCAAGTGATGTTCACTTGCGCCAGCACTCCACCTCTATTGAATGCGGTAGTGGGTTTGAATGACGACATTCGTCTACACAGTGAATGGGAGGGGGGGGGAGGGATCAGTTGGAAGTGGCTGATTCTTTAGTCAAATTGCTATTGGCAAGCAAGAGACTCAAACTCCGAATTTTGCAAAAATAAGGCTAAAAATTCGAAGGAAAGCCGAAACGAACTAGACCATTGGATTCGCCTTGACAATTGCTATCTAATGGTTCCAAACTCAAATCATTTAAACCATTTTTACAGCAGTTATGGCGAAGCGACGGATTGCGACGGACTAGTGCGCTGAAATCTGTCGATTTACCAGAAATTAGGGGCGGTATTGTACGATCTGGATTTGATCACCGGACCAAGTGATCGGTATGGTCCGAAAGATCAAATCGGTGAGCTGGATTTCTTATTCCTGATCAATACTAAAAATCAAATTCGATTTCATCAAAAGCAAAGATAGGAAGTTCTCCGAGGTGTGGAACAAAAGTTATATGGTTATTTAAAAATAGTTAAGTAGTGATGGTTATGGACGGCAACATCAAACCACAGCATGTGTTCCATAATCTTTTGCAATTCAGAATCACTCACTCCACATCCTCGAGCTGAAATAGGGGAGGTCTCTGTACGGGGCGTAATCGGTGGTTTCGTTTGCTTTCCTTCTCTTTTACAGACCACCTCCCACCTATAGCTTCATAACTGAACGCTTTTCCACACCTATTTTATCCCGAATCTTGCCTTTGAAGCGAAGGTTCTGAACTATACATGTCAGGAAGGACAAAAACATGCGCATACATACAGGCAGAATCTCCGACTCTCTCTCTCTCACTCGCGTTGCCTTAGCTGCCTCTTCCCTGCTGAAGTCACTGCGAGCAAGTTGAAACGGCCGTATAATTTCGAATAGAAGTTTCCGAATGTGCGGCGATTCTTATTGTCGTGATCAATTGGGCAACAAATTTTTTATTTCTTAGGCCACGTTGAAATTGGCCTTGGCTAGCGACCTGGCGACCCCTGTGAGAACAGATGAACTGCTATCTTGCCAGCTTGGTTGCCTTCCCTGATAGAGTACGGTAAACTGACCGGCATAGGCGTTGGTGACGGTGTCGACGCTGAACGTCGAGTTGAGTCTTCTTCACTTCCTCCTGAAATTCAGCCATTTATCTGCGTGATTCCGACGAAAATCTGTTCAGTGCTGCTGTCATTTTGATGGACACGAGGAGTCTCATGGGAGTAAGTGCGGAACGCTGACGCTGTTTCTCCTCAACTGGGCATGAGCCCAACATATGTCTGACGGTAGGGCTACAGTAAGGTAAGCTCCCTTCGAGTTAGGCGATCTAATCTTAAGGGTCGGAACCTAGCTCAAGAGCCTTCGAGAGCTCGCTAGCCTGCGAGAGCTTGAGCTATACTAGTCATACTAGCTCAAGCTCTAGCAGGCCAGTGAGCTAGTATACCTCAAGCTCTCGCAGGCAAAAGCCTGACGGTCGGGTTATCAGATTTTGGGTATGCTCTGCTCTCAGAAGTTCTAATTTTCTTTTTGTTCTTCAATTCCCACGGTTCTATACGCAAGGAAGCATGGAAAATCGCTGTTGGCTTCGTCAGGGAAATAAATGCCTTCTATTTACGTGGCCTTCGCCAAATTATTAAAATAAGGTATACGGTAATCAGGAAGCCCTATGCCGTCCTGGTATGAACATTTTCCATGTGAATGTGGCGCATGACCCCAAGCCCAGCTAAGTCCATGACCCTCGATGCCTCCTGAAAAGCCTAGTTGAATGCAAGTAAAACTCGAACCTTCGGGCACCTCGTCGAGTGTTTGATGCATCAACTGCATAATTCCGGTTCGGAACATCGTTCCTGAGTGCAGTATAGGTATTGAAGATCGCCTGAAACACGCATGGAGTGATTTTCAGTCGGCCCGCAAGCAAAAGTCCTACCTGCGTGTTAGCGACATGCTCCTTTCACCGATTACCATACCATCTTCAGGGTCCTTGTAATCGACGGTCATGTTCTGAAACTAGAACTAGTGACATTTTTTCTGAAAAAAAGAGGGAGGAAAGGCTAATCTTCGACAAAAGAACTGGAAAGTAGGTTGGAGTACGGTACAATAGTAAAGTACCGTACTCCAACCCAAGGACACACCCCACGATCAAAATTGGGACATTAAAAATAAAAGCAGGAATGCGAAGCGGCCCGCTTATAAAGGCAAAAAGGGAGGAATCCGTCGAAAACGCCAAAATTAATGGCTTACATATTTTTCTGACCTAGCTGTGCTGACGCGACGAGACACTACGCGGAGGGAAGAGGCGATAGGTGAGATAGCATACTGAATGAGAGGGCGTAGATACCCGCCCGTCGAGGAAAAATGGAAGCGGTTGAAACGGCCTTGGAATATCAGCACCCTTGTCGCGCTCCTTCGAGCCGGAGAACAGGACATCTGCGTTAATAGTCTGCTACACTGTTCTATTCTCAAAATGGATTTATCCACGTGAACTTATCCCGAACTTGAGGGGTGCCTGAAAGGTCCCCAAACCGAAATGATGTTGAGAACTCTTGGGATCGTGAAAACTTCGGAATCGGCCGAACGGGGCAGCCGATCTTGGACAGAGGGCACGGGGAATACTGCCACAACCTTTGCCCAAATAAAATAGTGGAACCAAACCGTGTGACGCATGTAAGCTAAAACCAGAAAAGCCCCTTAAACCCCTTAAATGATCTCATCCAACTCACATTATTGCCGTTTAGAGCGATTATGTGCTCGTTAAGTGTGGTTTGTTCCGGTTCGTCCACATCGAGCTTCTCGCCAAGCAGCGACACCTTCACCCACTCTTCCAGTCGCACGTTGAATTTCATCACTGTGCAGTAGACCAGATAGATGATGAACAACGACAAGGCTTCTCGCCAGGTGATCTGAACAGCAAGACTCTCGGTTTAAGGGCTGAAGGAGTTTGAAAACTGCTTTTATCAGGACTGGTAGCACATCCAATGAGCGAAACGTCGAGGTCTACCTGTTGCCACTCGTGTTCTTTTCCACCCCCCCCCCCCCCACCCCCACCTATTCCCCATTCCTGCCACCTTGTGTACGAAAAAGGGAACTATTTTAGATATGTAGACCAAGGCGCTGAAAGTCAGGGAGACCCTGTTTATCTGACGTGACATCGTCTCTGACAACCCAGTTGTTACAGTAACCTGGCTCTGGGTAATACCGTACTCTTCACAGACCCTAAGAATAAGAGGCGTTACTGTAATTGGAAGTGGGGCGCACTGGGGTGCTTGTCTGCGCCCTTTAATCAAAGTAAAGCTCCAATATTCCAACTTTCCACACAAATTAAGGAGATCGTCCCACCCCCCGCCCATCTCCCCGTCCCCTTCCAGCCCTTAATAGAACACATTCTCTTGGCTCACTATTTTTGTGCACTAACTATCTCACGGGAGGGCCAAAAAGCAAACTCGTGAGATTATGCCCCCTCTAATGCCGAATAGGAAATACTTATAATCCAGAATCGTACAATGCTAGGAATAAAGGTGCACACAAAAGCGGTGCGAAGACGAAGGCGGGGTAGCAAAGTTGTCGGGTCTCCTTCAGAGGACGATAACTAACCTGTTCATCCATGAAGAACAGCACCAACATTAATAACGCTAAGATATAATTAGCAATCCGAAACAGCTCGATTACGCCTATGATTCTCCAGAATGTAACCGGAACTCACCTAAACAGTGGCCACCAGGTGAGTTGTAGAACCGTTTTGGAGAACAGCGTACAACAAGCAAGCACACAGAGGATATTGAATGTTGCACTACCTGAATTAGTTTCGAAAATCAGACCATACTATTCTTACTTGTATTGTTCGACACAGTGATGATTACTCTCTAGGGTTTGAGATGCGAGCATTAGCGCGAGATTTGATCCTCCTGCCTTATTTTATAGCGTTCTCATAAGGGCCCCAAACACGAACATCACCACTTCTGTGACTTACCAGGAAGGTCTTTCAGGGCGTGACAAGCTTTTTGAAAACGGTCTTTTGCATGATATAGGGGCAGATGCGGGAACCACAGAACCATGTTCAATTTTTCCTGAACGGCCCTCTGAATACCAGAAAAGGGGTCCCTAGTTCGATTCCTCGTGGTGACAAATTTTTGCATTTCGAGTTGACGTGCCAAAATTCGCGCAAAATGGAGTTAGCATGAAAAAAAGTACCGTGTTCATGATGTTCCCGCATTTGCCTCTATCATGCGAAAGACGGGTTTAAGAAAGTCTTGGCACGCCTGAAGACCTTTCGTTACTCTCACCTTTTCTCATACATACTATCTACACTTCTCTCGGAAAATCTTTTCTCATACCTCCTATCACATATTTGGGGCTCGTTCCATGTAATTCTGGATACATTGCGGGTTCTTGAGTTGTTCAATCGAATTTGGCGAAAGTTCACGAAAGAAAGTGTGAATAATAACAAGCACGACGACCGTTTAGCAGGAGAGGGAAAGCTGGAGATTTGGCTGTATCGGCATCGACTGCTTTTACCATCAGAATCAATACCATAGAAACTGCCATGATGGCGAGGGTGGGGTAGGGGATGGGGTCGTATTGGGGACGGGTTGCCACTTTCTGTATCTCATCCCTCATGATGAGAAGTGCATGCACATAAAGTTGACGTGAATAATTACAAGCATTTGAAAGTGCTTGCGATTTTCTTGCAGATGTGAAAAAAGCATTGGGAATTCTCAAAGGAAAATTCTGAGAATTGCTGCGAGAATTCGTCCACTCATAACCCTCTGATGATGGAAATCGTGATCGAATTTTCCCAGAAGCGGCAGCCTAAGAGATTTGAGGCGCTTCTTTGTTCGGCCGTGCCAAAAATCGACTCTCGACAGCCTAAGCAGCGAGAAATTCGATGTCGATTTTTCTCGGAAACATGGTCTTTGAATGATGTCGAGGAGGCTCCTTTGGGCACTTTATGCCATCAACCTTCACTAACTTGATATTCATATGAAAAGCTGGCGCTCATCAGATGGAACAGTTTTTCATTCCTATCAGGCTTATTTTTGCGGATGCTAAAAAGGTCCTAAAAGGTGATACTGTTTTAAAATCAGCATCACAAGACGTCAAAACTCTATGACTGAATAAATGGAAGATCAATGCTGGCTGACTCCTGCTCGCCTGCTTCGAGTATCTGAGAGCGGAATTGAGAGGCGTGACTCATGTCCTGCACTCTGAAACCACAGTTCCGTCTCTTCTGCCTTGGCTAGGGCTCAAGCATGCACTGGTGCAAAACTACAAAATGACACTAAGTCCAGCCAGCAAGGCCAAGGTTGACAGGCCGGCTGAGGAGGAATCCCCCCTCCCCCTTCCCCGAAAAAAAAATATCAGAAGTCGCTCAAGAACCAGTCTTGGTAGACTATTTGAAAGCGAAAGCCTAGGATTGAGTCGCGAATTCCCGGATCGGTCAATTGTTACCAAACTTTGTCTAGAAAAGCAAAACATGAATGAAGCGCTGCTTGCCCCCGCAAGTCATTGTATAGGCCAAATCGCATTCAACCTCTCACTGCGATTCTGGATGGAAGTAGAATGCGTGGCGCATCTCAAAACGAGCTTGATCAATGCCGAATGTTTTAGGCTTGATAATTTGATTTTTACTCCATGTTAACTTCAATCCTCAGTCATTCTGACTTCAGAATCCATCCGCTATCCAATGCATTGGAAATAAGAATGGCCGGTGCGAATCCCCGAATCGATGATCGCCTGGATGATTTTTCTTATGATTCTCCACCCACGTCATTTCTTCCTATGAAGGAGGTGTACGGAACAAGTGCACTACTCGGAGGGCGTCGTCAAGGATTCGCACCTTTTAGGGCAACTGCCGGGCGCCCCCTTGTCGTCCCATTGAATTTCATTTAATTTGTCTCGAAACTCTGCGTGTGCTTATGCATGAGCGGGCCGAATTACGAAAGTTGTCTGCCAGCCGGATGGGAAAAAACGAGAAAACTTCCCAGCTGCCCTTTCGCACCAGCTGAGAGGCGGCCAGCAGTGAAGAGCAATTGGAAACGATCTCTTGGGAACACGCTCATCACACTCACTCGTTGCGCGCACACACACACCTGTTGCCACCCACAATTGGCTGGTGCTCGCGATAACGATTATGACCAAAGTCGGACCTCCGTTGTCCCGTGGATTCGACTCTACAACAATGCGCAATTTCAAGTTGTTCTGCTCGATGACACTCCGATGACGGATGATGAAAAATTCGGGCGCGCGATCCTGAATGCAAAAGCTTTTAGTGAAAGTTGGCTTGAATTAAAGAGGGGCTAAAAACACAGAGTTTCTCAAGAATGCTGAGTTGTGGGCAGAGCTTTAGCCCCAGCCGGGATTCGTACGCATAACTGGTAAAACAGTTGCCCGGAAAGCAAGTGATCCGGGTAAGAATCCCGACTGGGGCAAAAGTTTGCCCACAACTCAGCAATTTTGTATAGTTTATAGACGCGTATCAAATAACTGTAGTTATTCCAAATGTACCGCAGCCGAAAACTGAGTTTCTGTCATTACTGCGCCAAAAGCTCCTTGGAGTTTTTGCCTCATTCGTCAAAATCGCAGGATTTCTCACGACAGCTCGCAGTCATCAGCTCACAGCGATGTTCTGAGCGGTTGTCAGAGCTTTGCTGCGGCGCTGCTCATCCCTTCACTCTAATCTAAGGCTTCATCGTGAATATTTGCTGCCCGCGGTTGCCGCTGCCTTATCCAAAATGCGGCAGTGAAAAAAGCTCAGAATCACAGTATCGTACGTACAACTCAAAGAAAGTTCAGCATGGAGCATTGAGCTGTTCGAGCTAAACCACCAGGGAGCGAACAAGTTGCCAATTGGATTTGTCGTAACTTCTGCATAGTAACTTATTCCTTCAGGTAGGTAGAACCCGGGTAGATGGTTCTCATAATTACGGAAAGGCTAGGACTTGTTGCCATCACAGAACCATCAGCAAACTTACTAGTGGCCGCTTCTTAGGGCACGCCTGACCCTGACAACTCAAGTGTGTCAGCAGATGGCAGGTTTTCATACGTCGACGTCAATATTTGCCCAATTCGGGGGGGGGGAATAGGCGGAACACGTAGAGCTCCCAACAGTAGACATTTGTAGCGCGTCAAACCTTGCTCAACCCAACCCCTGCCAAACATACATATATCCTGCATAGAAGGGTTACAAGGCTTCTGTCAACCAGTGTAGAAGGAAAAGCAGACGTTCTTTGTGGTAGTGGGACTAAGCCTTTTAAAGGTAAAGAAAGCGGAGATTCTGTAATAGTGCGCTTGTGTGAGAGCTCCCAGACAGCACAACAAAACGCTGAATTGCCTAGCCTCACGGTTGACAGATGTCCGGAGACCGCATAGAAGTAGACTTGGATAAGTTATGAATAAAAAATGAAAGCGTAATATATAACAATAATTATAAAATAAAATAACAAATAACAATATAAACACAAATAATTAATAATAATGACAATAATAATAATATTAATACTAATTACAGCAAAATGACGTAAAGCATCTTCTTTAAAATCACAGGTGGAGTCAGGAATGTGATCAGTATCAAAAAGAGAAAGCTTTGAGGGTTCGAAAAGGCGGAAGATGGAGAATGAATAGCTATTCTGATTGACCAACAATAACAGATGTATTAAGGAAATTTGTGAGAAAAATTAAGATGGTAGCAAGAGAATCAGGGAAAGAGGTCAAAAAGGAATAAAATTAATTCTCATATATAAATTATTGATGTATATAAAAAATGGTGAAACTCCAGTTCGGGGGGCCACTCCATTTTTTCTCCAATACTCAAGATAAGGATTAGAGGGCTCACGACACGTAATCGACTCATTTAAAGTAGACTTCTGATAAATATTGGTGTAATGGGTGAGAAACCCTGAAACGTTTTCACATTTCCGCCTGCCATGACCCAAGGGAACGGTCCTGGACCAGGAGAAAGGACACCTCCGCAAAGGGCTAAGGGTGCAGGAGCTCCAGGGTGGATCACCTGTGCAGAAAAGTGGATGGGATGTGGGCAGGTAGTGTGGAATGTAGGACATCCACCGGTCCTTATCAAAAGTACGCTCGAAATGAGTCGTTCACTTATTATCTTATCCGTAGTGTTCGATAGCCCAAAGAACTGCTCTCTAGTACTACGGATAAGATAGCAATGGAGTGCCCCCCCGAACTGGAGTTTCACCAAAAT